GTATTTTGCTGAATACATACGAAACCTATAACAAAATTTATTTTCCAAAAACAAAAAAAGCTGTGGTGGGGAGTGCTTGCATTTCACAAGGGACCTCTGAATGCTATATAGATGTTCAGATCTCAGTAACATGTGAAATTCCTTTCCCAAATTACTCTGCCCTTTTCAGCTGTAACTGCAAATACATTGTAAAACTTTCCCACAAGGGTATAAGCAAGGGTAATGATACTAAGAATCATTTTTGGCATGTTAAAAACCAAAAATAGTTATTACTGTATAGCATAATTTTAAGGGATTATGGTCCTCTGTCTGATGTGTACTGAGAAACAGGAGACAACCAGAAACTATGGTTTTACTCCCATGAGTTTTTCAGTAAAATATAGGACTTGGATCTTCTTAAAGATGATGGGTAAGTTTGGTAAGGAGTGGGATATATATTTAACATAGACATGCAGGAACATAAGAAAATACTAGTACATATGAAATATATGTATATGTATATACTAATTAGTATGTACAAAAACATGGTCATTCTTTCTCTCTAATCAATATTGGTGAGACCACATATGGAATACTATGTATGATTCTGGGCACGTTTCCAGAAAAAAACATTGACAGGTCAGAGGTGGTTTAGAGAAAGGCAACAAAGAAGATACAGGGATCTGAGGATATATCCTATATGGATATGCTGAAGGGACATGATATATTCAGTCTGGAGAAAAGCCTGAGGGGAGATACAATAGCCATGTTTAAATACATAAGGGGAAGATACTGTAGCCAAGAACTATTTTGCATGGCCAAAGAAAGTGAACCCAGAAATAACTGATATAAGCTAGATTTTAAGAAAACCTTTGTAATGGTAAGATCTGTACAACAGTGGAACACTGTCTCTAAAGGCTGTGGGTTCTCCATCTCTGAAAGTTTTTAAGATGAACACCCCCCTCTAATGGGTAGTTTAACTGGTTTTCCTGTACATTGCAGAGTTGATGATCTTCGTGGCCCTTTCCCTTTTTATAATATAAGGATTCTATATTTCTAAAAGGGATGGCTACTGAGATCTCCCCCCCTCCCCCATTCTTCAGAAGCAAATGTGATTCAGCATCAGTGGTGGAGCAAAGCAAAGTGTCTGCTCTGGACTATGGAATAAACAATGGTAGACACCATTTACTTGTGTCAGTTTCAATTTATTTCATAGCAAATTGGGATTCTTTGGGGGGAAAAACAGAGAGGTACCAATACTTTTGGTCACATCTGTAGGACTTTATGTCTAACAGGTTCCCCACCTTTGCCCTACCAGTTTATTCTGGAATATGCAGAGCAGAATTAATATCAATGTCATCATAAATTACAAATTTCACTCAGAAACTCTCTCATGGAGCAAAAGGTGAGGGAAAATAGATAGAAAAACTATTTAAAATAGTTTTTCTGCCAGCACCATATCATTCTGGCTCAAGTTTTCTGGCGACCTAACCTGAAACCTCTAGCTGCTGATACCAGTGTAGTTGCATTGTACCATCAGAATCATTTCAGGAATAAGGTAAGAGATAATGGGAGTTATCTAACATACCTTGGCAACTTTAAGAAGTGTGGACTTCAACTCCCAGAATTCCCCACCCAGCATGCTGGCTGGGGAATTCTGGAAGTTGAAGTCCACGCCTCTTAAGGTTGCCAAGGTTGAGAAACAGTGATCTAATGAATCACACTGTCCATCCTTGAGACTCAGAACATTATAAAACCATCTGGCATAATCATCACTATATTGTATGGCAGCAGCAAGAAATTATTTTGACTAAAGAAATGTCCTTGTGAAAACTTCTCCACATTTCTGTGGAACTAACATTCTTTAATGAATACACAACAACAGGCTTAAGGCAACTCTCTTGAAAGCTGTATTTTCAGATTAGTGAGAAAACCAAGCTGGTAAAAATGTTTCTGCAAGATTAGGCAACTGCACAATCCAGAGTACAAACAATGTGATGTCTGAAAGGCAACCCTGAAGACATGACAGGACACAGGAGGAAAGAACGATAGGGAGAGGCAGACCCTGTACAAAAAAACTAGCACTGGAAGAATAACAGCAGGTGAACAGCTCCTTCAACAAGTGTCTGCAACACTGCAATTCTTTTGCTATCTTGTAGCTTAAGTGGAAAGTAGTTTGTGTACATGCATATATACGTGAGAGCAGTTTTACATATTCCAATGTATTATTAAAGCGTTAGTGACAAAAAAGAAAAAGGCATTTAAAGTTTGAAGCCTTTTCAAGAAGTGAACGTTAAAAAGATTTTATGGATTTGCATTAGAGCAAAGCTTTTCATCTTTGATGTTGATGTTGCAAGGAATATGAGCAGCACATCTGTGTATTCACCTGTATTGAGATGGTAGGATATTTACAGATCCATAAAACACTGAGATGGTTTTCTAATCCCAAGGGATGTAGAAGTTGCCAGGCCAGGTCTAAATATGTACTTACACTTATCACTCTACAGCCTTTCCTTCCCTTAATACTAGCAGCCCACTATGATCACTTATTTCCTGCTGGCATTTAGGGAGTAACTTCCTACAAGTAATCAGCTTCTCAGAGTGATCTTATTTCTTGGCTGGACCTATACACTGCACAAGCCCACAATTTAATTTTAAATTATAATGCTTTGTGAACTTAATTGTGGTATGATCTGTAACTTGGTCATGACAGTTACATATGAACCAAAACATTACTTCTCATTACCAATAGGAAATGTATATTAATAGTTTTGATTTGGATTTATAACTTTTATTTCATGTCTGATTTGTTGCCCATATTAAACACATTGAAACTAAAGTTCTACCATTTTTCCTTTCACTAGACTTGGTGCTATAGGCAGTCCTCGGTTAATGACTACTCGTTCAGTGACCATTCAAAATTACAATGGTGCTGAACAAGCAGTACTTATTCTGCCCACCCCAGCACTCCAGTGGTCATGCGATTGCAATCTGGGGACTTGGCAACTGGCTTACACTTAATGATTGCAGCACTCCACGGTCACGTAATCACCATTTGCAAGCTTCCCTGTTGACTTCCCACAAGCAAAGTCAATAGAGAAGCCAGCAGAGAAGGTCACAAGTTGCCCTCCCACTCAGCAGCAGCCATCCCAGCCACCCCCTGCCCGGTCATACTTATGCCACAGCAGCTACTTAACTGCCCAGCCTGCTTGCAAGCCACCCAGGACTTGTGACTTCCTGCAGGCTTCCCCATTGACTTTGCTTGTGGGAAGCTGGCAGGAAGTCCTGAGGAGATCCTCACCTGACAACCCACAAGACTTCTGGGATTGCCTTGGCTAAGCAATGCAGTCATGTGACATCACACTTTACAACTGCATCACTTAGCGATGGGAATTCCAGGTCCAATTACTGTCGTTAAGGGAGGACTACCTGTACTCCAAAATGTCCCACAGGAGTAGCAAGTTAACAGAAAAATTGTGTGGATCAATTTTAGCACTGTTAAGCATATTTTTTAAAAAATCTAATGTACACTTAAGTGGAAATACAGGAGAGAGATTCCTCACTAGAAGAATATATCACGCAGACAAAAAGAAACATTCACCTTAGGAGGACAAACATATTTCTTACATTATGCTCCCCATTTGAAGAACTTCATAGCAAAATTCAGATCCAAGTATGTTCCCTCATCCCAATGAAAAAGAAAACGAAGGAAACTGCAATGCAGATTTGACTTTATTTAGGTATTTGAGCTCTCGCACTAAATTTTACAAGCTGGTGAACACTGGCAAATTATTTCTCCCACAGTACTATAACCACACATTCCCAAGACAGTATAAATATATGGTTGAACATTAATACACACCACCATTTTATCAATTACATAACAAATTATCAAGTATCCAAATATTAAGTTACGCAGCTCAAAAGGCATACAAAATATTACAGAGATCCACCAAATTCATGGTAGAAACTCAAGAAAAAACAAAATCACCTTCAACAAAGCAATAGTTGGTAAACAATTTCCAATAAGTACAGTAAAAGAAATTACAAGATCTTCAGAAATATGATTAAGAATTTTCAGCTACAATAAAGCATTTCTACATTAAAAAAATATTTACTAAAGTAAAGGGCATATTCTATACTTCCTGCACAAGACAAAAGGCAACATTTTACTAGAAATATTAATTAGTCCCCTCCCATTCTTTTATAGGCCTTCTACTAAAGTTGCACATTAAGTGCCAATATATATTTATTTAACTGTAAGGCTTTTTGTCTGGAGTCATTAAAGACTTGTGTGCTTCTGTACAGCGTGACATATTATTTTTCCATTAATAACCAGAGAATGTCTGTGAAAGAGGGTTTAAGTAATAAAAGTTTAGACACCAAAACTGACTAAGTCAGTAAATTGTGTGCAAATCCTGATAATCATTCTAGTGCGATTGTGGGAGACAAACAGTGAATAGGCAGATTATTCTATGAAGCCCTATCCACCAAATCAGAAGACAGTTAGGAAGAGGGCAAAGGTTCATATAGTTGTAGTTATTAGGGTATTACACTGTGGTATACAGAAGTAGTGTATTGGGCATTTGGCACCTAATCTCTATTCATGTTCTGGTAGATATAACTATTGGGACTTCAAGGAAAAAACTGAACTACATGATTAAGGATAGTTTAATGATACATACAGTAAGACATTTTAAAGGCCATGTACATTTGTTATCTAAACAGATCATCTAAACAAAGTTGCTCTTAATATTTCTAGTAAAATGTTGCCTTTTGTCTTGTGCAGGAAGTATAGAATATGCCCTTTAAAAAACTGAACTACATGATTAAGGATAGTTTAATGATACATACAGTAAGACATTTTAAAGGCCATGTACATTTGTTATCTAAACAGATCATCTAAACAAAGTTGCTCCCCTGCCAACACTGTGGCCTACTCCTACAGAAGCTTCATGTAATCTAGTTAGACATACATGTAGTTTTCCCATGTAACCTGCCCAATTCTAGGTTTAGTCTTCTATTTCCAAAGCAGCAATCTAGGCAGCTTTGTTTTTACTGAATACAACAATTGTTACGATGACCATTTGAATCTTTAAAACGGAGGCGCATTTTGGGGCGATATTTCTCCAAATAGAGTAGCTGCTTGCTGTTAAAAGCTCCACGTCGCTTCCTAAACAAAATTCAAGCACAGAATGTATTAATGAGTTACAAAATATTGTTCATATAGCACAACTTTATCCCTTGATAATACTTTCTGTTCAAGAGAGCAGGTTTGTTCTTTTTTAGGGCCCATTTTCAGTTCCCTACTCAACTTTAACATCACAGTATTTGGTATTCTACTTCTGCACTACAACTATAGATTAGAACATATCTCTGTATACTCCTCTGCAGCAGACTGTTCAAGCTGTTCTGTTATGGCATCAGAACAATCTTATGTTGGAAGACAGACAACTGTCTCAGTCTGCAACACATTAAGGCAGCCACATCTGCTTTACCAAATTACATGGCAGAAGCCTTACAAATGCTGAATGAACATGAACATTCTGTGTTCTGAAGCAGTGCTTTTGAATCAAATCCAAAAAAACTGCCTGCCTCTTCAGAAAACCATTTGAATTAGGAATGAGATAGCTTTTCAATACTTACTGTCTTATGAACTGCACCGCATCCTCATACTTCATGCCACATTCAATAAGCGCAAGGGCAACCAGTACAGGTGCTCTAGAAAAATAAAAAGGTACGTTTTACAAAAAGCTTTTCAAGCCTTTTTCTTTAATGTATACAATACTGTTTGGTTCTCATTTTGTCACTCTAGAGAAGTATTTTTTACAGTCTAGATACCACAGATGTGTAACATATGAAGGCAAGAACTTAAATTACATGCTTTATGAAAAATGACTATTAAGAAACATAAGCAAGTGCCATTCATAGGCTTAAAGTTCATCTTTCCCCAGTCTACTTATTGCTTAGTTTCCCAAGAAAGCTTTTACTAGGAAAAAAAAAGGAAAGTGTGTCTTTACTACTAACAAAGGATACCTTGTAAGTAAGCCTTCTACAACATGCAACTGTCTATCAATATGCAAAAATGGAAATATGTTTTGTTTCAAGTTCAGAAGAAACTACTGCATCCAAAAATTCTGAAATTTAGCTTATCAGAATTGTTCTGGATTTCGCATAAAACAAAATTTAAATTTAAGCAAAATTCAGATGGGGTAAGTAAAGCAAAGTTGGTGAATATTGGTCCCCTCTCCCCTCAGTAAATGTCAACAAGTATATCCCATCAGCTTGCCTGCCTCCAATTTCCCACTACTTTCTCTCCCTCCCTCCCCACTAACACCAATGTCCCAGTGTGACATATTCCACTAGCCCCACTGATATTCTTAGTCCCTTCCCACTCCTACACAGGGACAGAAGAGTGCTGGCCACGTTATACAATGTAATCTTCATTCACTGTAGGCAGTAAGAAAATTCAAACTGGGCTTGGCTTACATTCACAAAAACTAAAAGTAAATGTTAAAGTAATCATCCACAACTTGTTGCCTTCCCATTGTGTTTAGACTATAGCTCCCATCATCCTAAGCCAGGATGGCCATACTTTGGGATCTCTATTTCAACATATGCATAAGGCTCCAGGTTGAGGAATATTACTTTAGAAGTGCTTCATGGAAACTTTTGTAATGCATAGGAGTTGGCAGTCAAGTCAAGATAATAACAAAAGACATTACTTAGTTCTGGCAGCTGAATCATTTCTGTTGTCAGCTAAAAAAAAGGAAAAAGTGATGCAAATGCTCACACAAATTGTGCCTGTATAAACAAAACCCTCACATGAGGGAAAAAATGTTTTTTTTTCCTTCCCAATACTCTCACGTTCTACATGTGAAGGCTGTGTTCTGCTCCAACACAAGGGAACATTTCAAAATCTAATTATGACATGAAATTGGAATAATGAACTCATCCAACAAATGATGGCTACACTATGCATCTGTAGGCTGAGATTTGAATAAAAGCAAGCTGCTCCCCAACAGATAGTTTGGAAGCTGCTATGGAATGAAGGGGAAAGAGTGATGTACAGCAGCCCTGTCCTTCAGCTACTCCCCTCAGCCACTGTTGCCATTGTTCCTGGCTTTGTCCCCACTCTTCTCCCCCTTCCCAAAACCACTTCTGCCTATACACGGGTCTAAACACCTGAAAAAGTTATTTCAGTTTAAGCAGGGACTACCCAACAGTTGTTACATACACAGAACAGTTCACACATACTTAAGACTATATATCATATACCATCCTTCACCACCAGCCATGCCAACTGGACACTGAAAGCTAAAGCATGTAAGACAACCCATACCGGAGAAAGGCTAATATGCTATTAAACAAAATCTCAATAAATTTAAGATAATTCAACCCATAGTTTTGTGTACCCCAAAGCAATCAAATACAGGTATATTAATATTCTAAATATATTCAATTAATATATTTAGAAATATATTAGTATATATCAACTTTGCTTGGATACCAACTTCACAGGCTATTTCAATCCAGGTCAGACTGGCTAATAAAACTTATGAAAAGGACAAGATATGTTTTGCCAATTCTAGTTGTACAAAACTATCAACTCAAATCTTTATTATGGTCACAGAACAGCATAATACAAAACTATAATTTTGATGACTTCAAGATTTAAAATTACCTTCCAAGACCAGCAACACAGTGTACAGCAATGCAACAGCCAGGCTCTTCACGAAATTTAACTTTCAGAAGATTTAGCCAATCATCAACAATCTGAAGAGATGGTGGTGCCCCATCATCAAAAGGCCAGTCCTGGAAAGTATGCAGTGAATTGTTTTAGGCTTCATATTCCTCAGAACCACAAATATAAGCTAATAATAATCATTAAATTCTGTTAAATAATGCTTTTACATCTACACATCTTAGAAACTTCTATTATGCCAGTGCTGCTCAGTCACAATACCAGATATTTCCATCTCATTTTACAGGGGGTTAACTCTTTGTATGCAACCAGTAGGACAGGTACACAAGTCCCATCTGTATTAATATTTAAGGCATAGTATATCAAGTCTTTTAGGATGTATCCTAAGCACTGTTTATTAATCATATTTATATGGCTGCCCATCTCACGCAATGTGACTCTGGGCAGTGTACAAAACCATAAAAACAATTTTAAAAACTTTCAAAACTAAAAAAAGAAATTAATATTATAAAACACTAAGAGAGAGCATCAGATTATAAACAATGGCGCCATCTATCAAATTACCATTCCCTTGCGATCCCCAGGCCTGTTGACATAAGAGAGTTTTAAGGGAGTTCTGGAAGGTTGGGAGAGATGGGGCCAATCTCACCTAGGGGGGATGATGTTCCACAGGGTGGGTGCCATGGCAGATAAGGCTCATCCCCGGGGTCCCATCAGGTGTAACTCCTTCACAGACAGGACCCACAACATACCTCTTCTGCCAGACCTGATGGGATGGGCAGAAGTAACTGGGGAAAAAGCAGTTCCTCACTTTTTAACTTGTGACTAGCAAATAGCATATCTGATAGCAACACTGTCTGGCTGAAATTTCCTCCATATTTTCATTCTAGCCTTATGTCATTATCAGGCTGCATACTATTTTGAAAAAGGCTATATCTTCCCATTTCCATTAAGATTAGGTATTAATTTGAACACTAAGCTTTAAACTCTAATGCTCTAGATTAATATATGCTGAATAGCAAGGAATACAATATACTTCACAGGATAGCATCTCAAACTGTTCAAGTAAGCTACTCACCAAAACCTGAATGCCTTCTTTTTCTAATGGAGCGGTGTCATAAGTGGCTTCACATACTCTTACTATTGTAGTTACTCCATACTTTTTAAGTTCCTAAAAGAAAGATATAGAGTTTATATCTTAATTGTATCAGCTACGCTAATATTTATGGTTTTAGTACTTTACTTGGTAATCAATTAACAGTTTATCATACTTTTGTAGAGTACCATCTCAATTTTAGCCATTACAGTAAATCACCTAAGAGCACTGCTCACTAAATCACATAATATAATGCTTCATGCAACTGCAGCTGCCTTTATGCAGCCTTGCTTTCTTGTTGTTTAAAAGTATTTAAATGTACCCTGTGAATGAGTCACTGGACAAGCATACAGAAACAAAGCTGAACCATCTTTTATCTGACCAACAGAAACATACCGAAGGCAATTCAATAGGCTGAAGCATGTCTTCTAGTAGACCACTGTGATTTTAAAACTTAACACCACAGAATTAATAAATCAGCATTTTGGACAACACTGCTTACCTCTATGAACTTGTTTAAAGTTGCATTGGTTGGATTGTGAGTGATAAGGAATCTCATGTTCTTGTAGGTGATTTCCACAGGAGCTGGGCGGTTCATTCGGGCCATGTCAATTTAGTTAAAATGTGCAATGACTGACAGTTTTTCTTTTTTTTAAAACTAACTGATTAATGGAGAAACTAAAGTCTACTTCACAAAAAGCCACTAAAAGTTTCCAGTGCCAACAAATATGAAGTTGGGAGCAATGGGAAATGAAATGAACCTCCTAAACAAGAAGCAGCAAATCTTCAATCTTGTAATACTGAGGCAAAAAAAAAGGCAGTGCACTGAGGTTACCCCATCCAGGTCAGAACTCCTTTGTAAAATGCTCTGCCAATTTCAATCCAATACTTCTTATTGTGGTAACCACTCTTTAAGGGGGCTTCTTGGTGGAGCAGTAATCAATTTCTACAGTTCACTTGTCTGCATAAAGGCCGTGCTGTGCCTGGCAGTAGTCCCCACTGCCCTTCAGAAACTCCATAAATGTGTGACCGAGAACACCACAGAACTGCTGCAGAGAGAAAAAGGAACAGTGGTCAATGGCTAAGGATATACTTTTCCAAGCATCTTAGTGTTAGATAAATTTCCTGCCTTTTCTTGCACTATTTAACTTTCGTGAATCTTCAAAAAATCTTCAAAAAAACCTCTGTGATCACACTGTAGACTATAAGATAACATACATATAATTTAATGCAGTAATGAGCAACCCACAGGCCCCAGAATTACCTCTACAGCCCCACACTAAAGTATACTAAAATTGCACAGTAAAAATTCAGCAACACAATGGCAGAATTTCAGCAGCATGAGTTTTCTGACCAAAAATGGGAAAACAAGGATGCAAATAGAGGCACAAGACCCTCAGGCAATGAAGAGTTCACTTTTCCACCCCTAAACCATAACCAAGAACATTCAGTTCTGTCCTTTTGGAAGGCCTCCTGCAGTCCACCAATTACTTGGGAGAGCAAACTGTACCTGTTATGCATATATATTGTTCATGGCTTGCTTTTAACAAAGACTGAAACTTTGGGTGAATAATAGAAGTGATGTTCAAACTAATAGTTCTTACTCATTCTGCTTCCCTACAAGAAGGCAAACCTCACCGGCCAATATTCAGAACAGAACCATTTAAATTCATATTTCTCGTGCACAAAAGCAGTTTTGCTTCCAGCAGCAAAATAGAAGAGACTTTATCACATGCATCCTGAACAAAGCTCATACATTAAAAAATCAGTATTACCCTTCAGAATTGGAAAAACATAATTTACTAACATCTGAATTCACTCTTGTTCTACTTTCCTTTAGCTCTTCATGTTGTAGCAAACATTCTAAACTAGAAAAGCGGGGCTAAGATAATAATCACAATGGGATCCCAGGTTCTCTTTTAATTTGAGGCATTAAAAGTAACATCCCAAATTCTTATCCAAACTCAGTCTCAAACTGAGTAGAATCACACCTTTTCTGAGTGTATCCTTAGCTATGCTAAGTATGATGCAGCCTTTTTACTTAAATACCCCACAGACCAATGCTTTAACATAAGGATTCGCCATTCCATGATGTTCATGAACATTTTTATTGCATAAATTTAGGTGCTGATAACAATACACAACTATATTATGAAACAAATGCTATTGTTTCATAAGGCTTCACAGCTACTGTAAGAGGAGGTGATAAATAGCAAATTGCAAGAAATAGCCTAGAGAAGGGTAGGGAAGTAGTGTTATGTGCCTATCATTTAGCAAGAAAATTAAATCTATCCAAAGCAAATGCTGAAATGAAAGGTCTGGCAAAATAACAAATTTTCCTACAGAGGCATAAAAATATTGAGCCAAACAGGATGCTCTTACAAAACACAAAATTTACAAGTCTTCTGAAAAGTTATGTTACATATGCTATGTACTCAATAGTTCAAATATTCCTCAGAGGGAGCAGGATGAAGAAGTCAGCAATATTATAATGACATAAATGTACATTTCATTATAGATTACCAGGGATGCCTATGCACATAGAATTAAAGTAATAAAGGTGCTTCACAGACTTAATTTAACAGTCAAAAGCAGCTAAAGTATAAGATCAAGCTATAAACCAACTTTGTTGAGAGGAGGAAGCCTATGTAATGAACACTGAAGAACATTATTTCCAGTGCACATACTGTATTAAAACTGGCAACAAGCTGACATATCCAATCCTGTGGATATAAATGAGAAGTACAGTAAGAATATATGCAGTTGGAATGACATTAAGTTAGGAACTACAGACTGAAGAGTTAAAGATGAGTAGAAGCAAAGGTACCATGTTTCAGATATAGAAGGCTAGGAATGTTCTGGGAAGGAGAAACTCTGATTTGAATAAAGTATTTCTTGAGTAAAAACACACTGAACATTCAGTTGATATATTTAAACCAAAGCAGCATTTTATTAATGTAATTAACGGTCTCATTCTTCTTGCACAGAGTGCACCACGGATATAGACAGGCTTTTGAGCAAGACAATGGTTCTAATCCAAGCTTTAGAATAAAGCTCTTCCAGCAACTTTGGGCCAATCACTAACTCACTCCAAATATGTTATTTCAAAAGGGACTTGTGCTGCTACTCTTTCATACTGTTGCCATTCTGCCTCTGCTACAGTAAAAAATAATAAAGTTGATAAGGTGAATATAAAGTTGATGAGAAGCAGAGCTCTTCAGAAATCATATAAGATTAAAAACTTTAAACCTAGATAAAAGAACCCTTATCTGATAATGTAACAAACTCAGGACATTGTTATATTTAGTATTCAACCACAACATTCTTATTTCTGTATAACTTAGATAAAAGCAGGCAAAATGCTTACTGTATATTTAACAAAGCATTAGTTTTCTTCCTGAAATCTGAACAGGAAGAATCAGAAATAGTTCATAGCCTCAGAGAAACCTACATGCCACCACTGAGCCCGCGCTTCAGTTTACAAAGGTTACTGGTATTAAAGTTTACTGGGTTCATGGGTGTTTCTCAGTTTTGCAATCTTCCCTTGAGAAAATCTAAACCCTGTTCCGAAATACATCAAGCAATAAAATCATTGGACAAATGTTTGATGATAAAATACCAAAATCGCCCTGAAATGGGGGGGGGGGGGACCCTATGAAACCATATACAGACACACACACACACAAACTTAGAAGTGGCATTTGATATACAACCAGTATAGAAAGCAGAGAAAGAATAAAAGTAGTTGAAAATAGAATGATGGGGAAGAACCTGAACACTATGATTGGTGAAACAGCTACCTATCTGTGCTAATTTAAGCTTTCCCTTAACATTGCACATTTTAAGAATGATCCTTCTTTGCATAAGTTACTTTCTCTTCAAAACAAACAGATTAAGTCTGTTCTTGTGCTTTAGCTCTTAAGTTACAACATACTTTAACCATCACCAATACTCTTACGTTCATAAGCACCTAAAAGACTGAGTTGTATATTTCATATGAACTTCATTAGAGCATCTGACAGGAAGAGTCTGCTCCAGGAAAAGGTCCCATATTCTATTTTAGAGAAACAGCAATTGATTTGAGGCTTAGAGCATATTCACTGTAGAAAGTTAGTGCCATGTTTCCAAAGTAGTCAAGTCCCAGATAGGCTGCTCTTCTAGGCAATTCAAACTCTGCAAAAATACTATAAACATTTTCCAAATACAACTACATAGTATACCTCTAAACTTCAAAACATACTGCAGTGATGTTGCGCAAAGTAAGATCATGGAAGATGTTTGCATAAAAATTATACTACATGGCTGAAAATGCCCCTAATTAATGCTCAAAATAGCAGAGAGAAATGAGGAGTAACTGTAGGCCCAACAGTTTCAGAAAAGTACATGAAAGCATTTAGGAAAGAAAGAGAAACAGACTAATAACAAGGACTAAAACCAGAAGATACTGGTGCCAGAAATCTGCAGTTATGACAGGGAAGTATACACTACCTCCTTTATTAAAAGTGTGGGTTACACTGTAAAGTAAGTTATTTTTCAGGGAGTTTTAGAATTTGCCAATTCAGATAATATTCTAAGAAATATCATGACTTAAGAGCAGCTATTAGTTTGCAGCTAATTCTTCATTCCTGTAGACTAATTATGGGATTCTTTCAGATATAGAGCCTTTTGCTAAAAAGTGATCAGCAGTATTCTTCAGCATTCAAAGGTTGAAATATCAGCATATGGTTTTTACAATATTTTGAAAGAAAATGTTTGCAAGAACCCACAGAACATGTAAGATATAGCATGAAGTAATGTTAAGCAACTGAACATTAAATTGTGGAAGATATCAACCGCCAGTTCTAACTCAATCCATCCACTTGGAGGAAAGAATATTTGAGAAGAAAGCAGACCGGAATATTTTTTTAAATGCAGCATATTATGAACTGCATCTTACAAAAAGAAAGCAAAATAGAATACTGTGACTCAGTAATACTGTTATGCTAGTTTAATACATATAAAGCACTTCACTGCCATTTCACATTTCTCAGGTGTCACAAAAAGAAGTACTTCCATAGCCCAAGATTAAAATGGTGATGGGATTAACAATACTTGGAAACAAAGCAGCTGTTTTCACAACAGGCAGGAGGGAAGGTTTAAACTGCCTTCTCCTCCCATATTTATTTATTAGATTTATATAATGTAGCCTGTTTATCAGATTGAGATCCCATCAATTTGGGCAGAACTAGACCAAGCCTTTATTGTCCCCTCCACTCCTTCCGGTAGGAGGAAAGATAGTGCGCCACTAGCTTATGAATGGAAGGAGCGACCCGTTATCTCCAGGCGGGCAGCGGTGTGAAGGGAAAGAGACCACACCGACTTAGCCCGCCAAATGTCCTCTGTACTCTTCCCCCGCCCTCCCACCGCTCCAGTGAGTCACACTCGGTAGCGCAATAGCCCTCAAGGTCCCTACACACGCGGTAGGTGAGCAGGCTGGCCGTCTGCCAGTCAGCGGCGCGAACAAGTCTCAACTTGTTTCCCAAGTGGAAGACTACTCCGGTTTTCCCCCTAAGCCTTTCCTCACTCACGCGCGGCCGAAGCATTAAGCGCGTCGGAGCCCCTAGCCGCATGAGATCGGGGCTATCTAGCAGGACGCGGAAGGACGGGGACGGAGGGATCACCCAGGACAAGGCCAGCTGCGGGATTAGCCAGGAGCCAAGCAGGCAGAAAAACTCTCCGTGCCACAAACTAAGAACCCCGCCTCCTAACCAGTTACACACTCCCAAAGCTTTTCAAAGCCGCTCTATTTGCCTCCTATTCACATTCAGGCTGATGAAGACTCTGGAACAACCCCCTCCTGCCAGCACACACGTGTCAGGTCCACATCTCTCCCCGACTTGCCGACAAAAGCAGTTCAAATCCAGTTCAAACGCGGAGTTACTGCTCCGAATGAGCACACAAAGGAATCCAAAAACCGGGGGGGGAGGAGTTTGCTCTCATTCATACCGCGCTCTTTCTTACCTCCTACATTGTTCTCCGCTCTCGGGAGAGGTCCTAAGCGCCGGGCAGGATTGGAGCACCTCTAGTAGTGACCACGTGCTCGGGCCGGTTGCGGCGCTTTTCCCCAAAAGCTGAGAACGTGGGGGATGGGATGGGATGGGATGGGATGGGGTGGGGAGACCCGCTTAGCCACCCCCCCCGCCCCGTTCCCCGGCAGTAGTACTAAGGTCGGAATTTACTGTTGCTTTTTCTCAGCCTTCCTGGCGGTGGGGCTCCCACTTCTTTCTCCAGACGGCGGCGTCTCCTCCCGCCCAGACACTCCCTGCTACCCCCTCCAACGTCTCCGTCTCCTCGCTTGCCACGTCCCACATCTCAGGCTACAGCCAGGCCCGCAGACCGTGCCGGCCAGCAGCAGCAGCTTCTGCGGCTTCTTCCTGCTGGAGTTGAAGAGAGAGGGAGCCAGGCGGGGCAGCGACACGGGAGGAGCCGGGGAAAAGCCAGCCAACGACCGCGCAGCCGCACAAAGGCAGGAAGAAC